TCATATATATATACATGTATGTATGTATGTACATACATACATGCATGTACATACATACATACATGTATATATATATGATTGAGAATATGAGTGCATTTTGATAATAAGAAGAAAGGCTGGGAAGACGCATGCATGTGTGTATATTTTTAAACAAGAGAAGGTTTTTGTCTTTTTAGATTTTGTGGATAATTTTGTGGGTGTAAGAATTTGCATGAATATTTGGATAGCGTTGTCCTTGATAGCTTGCTTGTGTCACATGCTTAATTCATCTATTCCTAGGAGCTAGCATCTAAAGTCAATAAACCTTTTCATTAGGACTTGAGCAATGAAATTACGATTCTTCTAAGTGAATATCGAGTTGTCTCTGCTGCTCTACCTACCAAATATGAAGAACTGGTAGCCATGACTAAAAACATTTTTTGGCCCCATGTCTTAGCTTGATGTAATGTCCAGTCTCAAGTGGATTGACCCGTACCTTTCTGAACTGACTATAAGGACCATATAGATCTTGACATGGCATTTGGGTTGTGTTTGGTCGTATGACTGGTGTTGTGTAATGGGTCATAAGGATGAAAAAGTTTTATTCCCTAAATTTTTTGCCTCTTTTTGAAACTTTAAATGCTCAAAATGGTTGTGAAGCATGTCAGTCAATCATGTAAGTAAGCAATTTTATCAAGTAAAATGTTGATTATTAGTCCGCGTATTAATTCCACAAAGAGTTTTGTCTCAATATTTCTAACAGAGAATGTTCTAATTTACTAAACATTTGAATTTAGTTTGAAGGTTGAGTTTGCAGATAATAAAGTTCTAGAATTTATATACCTGGCTTAACACATTTCTTTTAAGGATTTAGAATGCATAATTTTTCCTAATTGATATATCATATGCATGTTAATGTGAACTCTACAACATTATAATTAATACAAAAGTAAGGACTCAAATAAATTGGTTGAGTTGAATATAAAAAAGATTAACTTATCTATAGTTAAATAATTTTGTTTTAATTAATAACAAGTGCTCAACCCAGCCTTCCTGCAAAAAAAAAGAAATGGAGATAAGTGGAATTTTTACTCTGCTAGGGTTACTATGCAATTGTTGCTAGTTTGTTTAGGTAATGTTCCATTGGTTCTGCTTCACATGAAGAAGATCTCTTATGTTGTGATTGTGACCAACAACTCTATCCTTGAAGGTCATCCATGGTATTTCCTCAAAGCTATCATGAATCTTTTGTTGACACGGGAGAGGCAGGCTTCATGCGTAAAGGAGGTAAAAAAAATGGTAAGTTAGCTATTTTCATTTACGAGGCAAAAACTTCTAAACTTGCGGAACCATGCCATTTCACTATTGTTTGAAAGTTTCAGTTTGAACATCCAAAGATGGAGCTAATTTACTAGTTCTTTGATGTAATGAAGTTGCTCGGTGAATGGAAAGTAGGTCTTCTTGATGGTAGGCATTTCATGATTTACCTTTGTAGAGAGGAAGACTATGCTAATATATTTGCCAAAAAATTGCTAAGGATTGACAGTAAATACATGAAAATTCTCAAGTGGTCCTCTCATTTTGATCCCCAACTCGAGAACTGTCCATCATCTAGAGCTATGATTTTGCTCGATACTCAACTAAATTACACAGGGTTTGTTCCTATATCTTCAACTCGCAGTTGCCCCCCC